ATAGTGGAAACTGTATGAGGGAGAGGGGTATATGGGAACCCTATACTTTGCACTCAGTTTTTCTGTAAACCTGAAACTGCTCTAAAAAAGAGTATATTGTGTACCAACAGAACTTAAACATAAAAAAAAAAAAAATTAAACAGGCTGGGAGTGGTGACTCACAGACTCAACTTGTAATCCCAGTGCTTTGGGAGGTCAAGGGTGGGGCAGATTACTTGAAGTCAGGAGTTTGAGACCAGCTTGGCCAACCTGGTGAAACCCCATCCCTACTATAAATACAAAAATTAGCCAGGCACGGTGCTGGACTATAATCCCAGTGACTCGGGAGGCTGAGGCAAGAGAATCTCTTGAACCCAGGAGGTGGAGGTTATAGTGAGCAGAGATTGTGCCACTGCACTCCAGCCTGGGTGACAAAGTGAGACTCTATATATTAAAAAAAAAAAATTAGGCCGGGCGCGGTGGCTCAAGCCTGTAATCCCAGCACTTTGGGAGGCCGAGGCGGGTGGATCACGAGGTCAAGAGATCGAGACCATCCTGGTCAACATGGTGAAACCCCGTCTCTACTAAAAATACAAAAAATTAGCTGGGCATGGTGGCGCGTGCCTGTAATCCCAGCTACTCAGGAGGCTGAGGCAGGAGAATTGCCTGAACCCAGGAGGCGGAGGTTGCGGTGAGCCGAGATCGCGCCTTTGCACTCCAGCCTGGGTAACAAGGGCGAAACTCCGTCTCAAAAAAAAAAAAAAAAAAAAAAAAAAAAAAATTAAAATTAAAAACGTAAAACAAATAACATCAAACCTCAATGCATAATTTTTGAGTATAGATATATTATTATTTCAGAACAATTTGCTGGAAAGACTATACTTTTCCTATTGAATCACATTAACTCATATGTCAAAAATCAGCTAACTATAAATATGTCCAAGTCTGATTCTGGACCCGCTATGCTGTTTGATTGATTGATTGATAGATATCTCACCAACACTATCCTTTCCCGATTACTGTAGATTTTTGGTAAGTTTTTTTTTAAAATAATAATTGTTTTTTTCTTCCTTTCTTCCTCCCTCCCTCCCTTTTTTTTTCTTTTTTTTCTGCCCTGTCACCCAGGCTGGAGTACAGTGGCACAATCTTGGCTCACTGCAACCTCTGCCTCCTGGGTTCAAGCGATTCTCCTGTTTCAGCCTCCCGCGTAGCTGGGACTACAGGTGTACACCACCATGCCCTGCTAATTTTTGTATTTTTAGTAGAGTCAGGGTTTCATCATATTGGTCAGGCTGATCTTTAACTCCTGGCCTCTAGTATCCACCCACCTTGGCCTCCCAAAGTGCTGGGATTACAGCCATGAGCCATTTGCCTGGCTCCTTTCTTTCTTTCCTACTTTTTTTTTTTTTTTTTTTTTTTTTGAGACAAGGTCTGTCACTCAGGCTGGAGTACAGTGGCACAATCACGGCTCACTGCAGCCTCTACCTCCAGAACTCAGGTGATCCTCCTGCCCTCAGCCTCCTGAATAGCTGGGACTACTGGCACACACCACCACAACCAGCTAATTTTTGTATTTTTCTTTTTTAGTAGAGACGGAGTTTCACCATGTTGGCCTGAACTCCTGACCTCTGGTGATCTGCCCACTTCAGCCTCCCAAAGTGATGGGATTACAGACATGAGCCACCACACCCGGCCTTGTTGGTGCATTTTTAAGATTTAATTCAATATACAAGCATAGAACAGTCTCCATGGGACCAGGCACAAGCTCAGGCCTGTAACCCCCGCACTTTGGGAGGCCAAGGCGGAAGGATTGCTTGAGGCCATGAGTTTGAGAACAGCATGGGCAGCATAGTGAGGCTCTGACTCTACTAAAGAAAACTAAAAATTAGCTGAGCATGTTGGCACAAGCCTGTAGTCCCAGCTACTCAGGAGCCTGAAGCAAGAGGACTGCTCGATCCCAGGAGTTCAAAGTTACAGTGAGCTATGATTGCACAGCTGCACTACAGCCTGGGCAACAGAGCAAAACCCTGACTCCAAAATAACACTACTAATAATTAAACAAAAAGAGAATAGCCTCCATGGAATAGATCTCACTCCAACTTCCTGAGCCTGAGTAGTTCACTACAGACGGCAAGCAGGAAGTGCTCCTTGGATCTCCCAATTCTGCTGACTGGAACTGAACTTTTGACACAAGAAAATAAGTTAGGAGGCCTACTGTCTATGGTTGGTGGTATGAGGCTATAATGGGTTTGAGAATGACAAAGTTTTGAAATCCTGAGACATGGGAATGCCAGAATTGCTACATTACAGGAAGCTTAGACAGGAATGCTTCACTCACTGTGGGTATAGTACAAATGGCTTTTTCAGGCTTACAAAAATATTGGTAGGTGAGAGAAATGGCAGAGAGAACAGCTCCATATTACCCAAAGAAAACTGCAAAATTTACAGTTCAGCTCACTGAAGAAAAAATAAAATAAATAAAAAGAATTTTAAAAGAAAGAAAGAATAAAAAAACTGCAGGCTGGGCGCTTATGGCTCACTCCGGTAATCCCAGCACTTTGGGAGGCTGAGGCCGGCGGATCACGAGGTCAAGAGATCGAGAGCATCCTGGCCAACTTGATAATCCCGTCTCTACTAAAAATACAAAAATTAGCTGGGTGTGGTGGCTCGCACCGGTAATCTCAGCTACACAGGAGGATGAGGGAGGAGAATCTCTTGAATCCAGGCAGTGGGGGTTGCAGTGAGCTGAGACGGCACCACTGCACTCCAGCCAGGCAACAGAGCCAGACTCCATCTCAAAAAAGAAGGCAAAAGAAAACTGCAAAAAGGAGATTAGTAAAGGAATTTAATGAAAATGGACCAAATGTAGCATTGTGTCAATTAGTTAATTTCGTTATAGGCTTATTGCGGGTGATGAATGCATTTTGATCTGTTTGATGTGATATGAAGCGAGGCCCCTGTAAGTGAGAATATCCAGGTTGAACAAAGCTCTTGGAGGATGAGGACAGTTGGACCAATGGACAACATTCTTTCCAAGGGCAGCCCCCCACCCCACCCCCAAGCCCACCTCCACCTCCCAACCCCACCCCTTACCCCCATCCCCTACTCCCAGCTGTCTTCCTTTCTGATTGGGTTATAATCCGAGGATGTGGCTCCCTTTGTGATCCATGACGCACCGATCTGATTAAATTAGACATTCAGTATATAAAGGGGTCGGCCAAAGACCAGCGAAAGGAATAGATTCAGCGCTCCGAAGTGAATTCCATGCAATTTTCTCGCGGAGTTCTTCCCTCATTAGAGATAGCTCTAGCCCTTTCATTCACACAGAGGCTTTTAAGAAAAGCAACCAACCTAAAGAGGACCTGACGGCAAGAAATTTTTGGTGAGATAACAAATAAGGTTAAGGGTGGAAGAAACTTGTTACATATGAAAAGTACTGATGTGTGTAGTTGAGTTAAATTGCATTGGTATCTCTAAATCTGCCTTTGACTGTGACCAAAATTTTATTGCCACAGCATCTCTATAGATCACGTTAAAACGTATCGAGTTATTCAGCACATATTTATTGAGCACCTACTATGTTCTAAGATCTGAGGATACAGGAAAAACAAAGATAAAGATAAGATCCCTATTGTCAGCTGAAGGTAGGAGTTGGGGGAGATAATTAAAGCGCTGGGAAGAAAAGACTAAAGACTAAAGGTATAGAGAAATATCGCCATCTTATTTAAATAAGATGGCCTTTGGAAAGCTTTTCTGACAAGATAATGGTTAATTTTAAATCAAGTTCAGTAAGAATTTGGAGTGTGCATTCAGGAAGTCCCTGGGAAACTCTGCTACTCCATGGCTAAACGATCTTACTCTCAGTTGCCTAAATTCACTGAGCCTAGCCTATGAAATTCAGAGAGGCTGAGAAACATACATTGTAAACGATAGTGAATATTATCGTTTATGAATATAATTTTATTACAGTATGATTTTTCTGAATGTAATAATGCCCCCATGACCGAAGGAAAAAAATGTATTCCAATCTGCTGAGCGGGTTCTTGTCACTGTTCCTGGCCTTTGTGCTTAGGAATGGAATTGGGACCCTGCCACTGATCAGGCATTCCCTTCTGCAAATTCTGAAAATACATGATGACTAGCTTCAGTTTCCTCATCTATAAATCGGAAATAATGGTGTGTTGACCACGTACGGTTTTTGTTGTTAAATTGACATTTATTGAGCCACAGCTATTAATATTTCAGATGCACCGTCATGGTGTTAGAATGTGGATTTATGTGCATTTATTTAATCCGTAACAACCCAGGAAACCAAGTACTATTTTTAATGGCATTTTGCAGCCAAGGAGACCCAGACACAGAGGGGTTAAATCTAGAGCCGTACAGCTAGGTATACAACCCAGACAACTTGGCTGTTGAGCCTGGCAATGTTATTAAGGGGTCAGCCCTGTTCCTAGCATATAGTAAGAGCTCAATAAATCTGTACGGTGTTAGTAGCTGTTACCAGTTCTTGGCAGCGGCTGCTCCACTATTTTCCATTTGTGAAGAGTTTAGGGTAGTCAGTTTGATGGAAGCAGCAGCTAGGGAGCGCTTTCATAGCAACCATAGTTTTCTGCCTAGCAACCATAATGTTTACTTAAATTGGGAGGTTTAGGGGAGCTAACGGAGTCTGTGGGAGAGGAGGAGTTAGCCGGCCACCCCTAGACAAGACACTTTACAGTAGAAACTGCACGCAGCCCCTGCAAGGCGAGCTTTCCCCCACCCCCGAACCTTCCTGTGAGCCGGTCCTTCTGACACGACATCCTGACGCGACATGCCCCCCTCCCTTTTGAAGCAGATGGTTCCTCCCGTTGTCCCGGCTAGTTCAGGTTCCGCGCTCGGGAGTCACAAAGCGCAGGGTCACGTGGGCGAGCCGGTGCGCTTTGTGACGTCAGCGGCCCCGCCCCTCGGCCCGCCTATCCGCGCACGCCAGCCCCGCCTCGTGCGCGCCGCCCGTGCAATCCCTGCTTAAGAGACCCCGGAGTGGGGCGCTCGTCCGAAGCCAGGCCGCATCCGCCATAGTGCCTGGCTTGGAGGTGTCGCCGCCGCTCGGTGAGGGCCCCTGAGCGGCAGGGGGGCAACACAAAAAGGGAGCCGGCGAAGCCCTGGCCGCTGCCCAGCGGCTTGCGGGCGTGTTCTCGCGGTTCCGGGCCTCAAGGCGACGGGAGCGAAAGGCGAGCGAAGCGCGGAGGATCCGGCGAGAGGAAGCGTCAGGGAGCCTCGGCGGTGTCCCCGGGGTCCGCCGAAGCCACCCGGCCGCCGGCTGGGGCCCGGTGTGGTGAGGAAGTGCTCCGAGGCCTCGCTGAGGCCTAGCGCCGGCTTTGTGTCCCAGGCGGCGGCGGCTGCAGCGGCGGCGGCGGTGGCGGTGGGAGGCGGAGCTGGGGGCGGCCTGCGGGAAGGCCTCTCCTCCGCCGACCGCGCGTTTTCGGCCTAGGCCGCCGGGCCGCTCGTGGCCTCCGGGGAGCAGGCGCCAGGGGTTTGTGTGCGGTGGGGGCCTGGGCCTGGGGAAGCTGACGCCGGTCGTCCGGAAGCCAGGAGGAGGCGTGAGGCCGCTCGTGGACTCCGGGCCTAGGCCCTCTCCCCTCAACCTTCTCCCGGGGCCTGGGTCACCCCAATCCACGGAGAGAGAGACCTGCCGGGAGGTGCGGCCGCGCTATGGACCCCTGACCCTGTGGGGTCGCTCGGACTCTTAACGTGTGGACTGACCGCTACTGACTGCACCGCCTGCCCCCGTCTCTGCCGGCCCTGTAGCATGAGCGAGGGGGACCCAGCCGGGTGACATTGTGCCCGTTGGCGGATTCTCGATTTCCCCTTTCCCCCGTCCTCGTCCTCCTCCTCCCCCATGAAGCGATTCTGAGTATCGGGGGGGCTCTGGATTGTTGTTCTCACGAACCCCTGCTTGTGGTTGGGGGGTATTTAATCTGAGGCCTTAGGGTCCTTCGGTGTCTTTGAGTGTTTTGTGTGTACATATTTTGCTCTTAAAGTTTATAAATATACATATATTGAGAGTGTCCACGTCTCCTCGCTGAACCTTAGGAATCCTTGGCACCATGTCCTGTGTGCATTATAAATTTTCCTCTAAACTCAACTATGATACTGTCACCTTTGATGGGCTCCACATCTCCCTCTGCGACTTAAAGAAGCAGATTATGGGGAGAGAGAAGCTGAAAGCTGCCGACTGCGACCTGCAGATCACCAATGCGCAGACGAAAGAAGGTAAGTGCCGCTTGGGCTTCAGATACTTGCTGGCTGGAGAGATACTAGTTAGAAGGTGCCTGGCAGGAAGCTAACCGCCATTATGTCTCTAGTGGGACTGTTCGTTCTAGTACTTTGGATACAACTTTCGTTGATAGCCAAGGGTTGCAGCAGCTGGCCTTGGAGTTTCACTGGTTTATTTGATTTCTGCATACTTGGGTCATCAGTAACATGCTAACCCCAAAACGTGGAAGCCTAATTATTCTTTTCGATGTTTTTTAAAATGAGGGAGGGAGAAGAGGGGGATTGCTATATAGATTCTTTGGGTGCTTGTCTTAGGGCGTTTTCTAACTTATTTTCCATCAGGAGGAGAGGAGAGCCTATTCAAGGCTTGTTTGTTCAATCAGGAAAAAAAAAAAAAAAAGAGACGTCTAATTTTCTAACAGCCTAACAGTGTTGTGGAGTTTGATGGCAGATTTTATGTCCTGCCTTTCTCCCTCCCCGAATTTATTTATCTGGAGTTGCTTGCCTGTGTTGTGGAGAAGGGATCTGAACTTAAATATTTTTGAAGATATAATCAGTGTTGGAATTGTTTTTGGATCTTGAAATGTTCTGATGTCACAGCTCTTGTCTTGTGTGTCAATTCCGGAATTAGTAATACGGCAATTAAGTAGTTGAATTCTTAGTTCATCACATTACTCTTAAGATTTAGCAGTTCATAGGTAAAAATCAAAAGTACTGATTTTTTAAAAAGTAGTAGTAGCTAGATTTTACGTGACTGTTGATACTAAGGTAATGAAAAATAGCCTGCTACCACAGAACACAATAAGCCACTGATTAGAATCGTTAGATTCTTTGCTTTTCAAAAATATTTGATAATATCTGGAACTTAACAGTAGATAAATGTGTCTTTCCTGACTCTGAACTTGTTTTGGTTTTTCTGAGATCAGTAATGCTGATGGGTAGTTTTTAGCAGTTCAATGTCCTAAAAGTGATTGACGGGATAAGAAGGAATAACATGAAGTTACAATTAGGTTAGGGTATTTTTTTAGTCACTTTTTTTTTTTTTTTTGACGGGGTTTCACCATATTGGTCAGGCTAGTCTCGAACTTCTGACCTCAGGTAATCCACCCTCCTTGGCCTCCCAAAGTGCTGGGATTACAGGCGTGAGCCACCACACCCGTTCAGTCACTAAAACTTTTTATCACACTTGAGGTATGACATGAATTCTTATAGTTGAAGTGGAAGGTCCCCCACCTCCAGCCCGTAGTTTAGTAGGTAGAGTAAATCTTGTCTTGTAGAAGACCAGCTTTCCATTTATAATGCAGACCTAAGTGTAATTATATTTTAGGTTAAGGAACAGCAGTGCTCGCATATCATGACTCAAAAATATTAAGGAAGAATTTTATTTGTCCAGGTGACATTATGTGAAAATACTGTGCTTCCCCAGTTTTTAAAAACAAGTGTCATACCCTTTGATGATAATTGGAGCTATTTGTAATCCTCTGCCTAAGGAGAGGAAAGGCTGGTGGTGGTCATGAACAGTTGATAAATAGCTTTATTTAAGTGCATCACAGGTGTCCCTTAACTGTAACATTCACATTTCACAGAACAGATGGGTTTGTAAGAAGTTTGGGCCATCTTGATATATTCAGTATGAGAGGAGAGACAATATGAATGAATTAAAGGCTATTAAGGCAATTTTAATCATCATATATTCAGGTTTCATATTTTACTGCAGTATTACACAATTGAATCATTAGGGCTAGGCCTTATCCATCTTTTTGACCCCACACTTGAATGCAACCTTTTTTTTTTTTTTTTTTTAATGAGGCAGAATTTCCCTCTTGTTGCCCAGGCTAGAGTGCAGTGGCGCCATCTCGGCTCACTGCAACCCCCACCTCCTGGATTCAAGCCACTTTCCAGCCTCAGCCTCCCGAATAGCTGGGATTACAGGTGCCTGCCACATGCTCAGCTAATTTTTGTATTTTTAGTAGAGACAGGGTTTCACCATGTTGGTCAGGCTGCTCTTGAACTCCTGACCTTGTGATCCACCCGCTTCGGCCTCCCAAAGTGCTGGGATTACAGGTGTGAGCCACCGTGCCCAGCCAGAAACTTTTTTTTTTTCTTTTTTTTTTTTTTTGGAGACAGAATCTCACTCTTGTCACCCAGGCTGGAGTTTAGTAGCACCATCTCAGCTCACTGCAACCTCCACCTCTGTGGTTCGAGCGATTCTCATGCCTCAGCCTCCCAAGTAGCTGGGACTACAGGCTTGTGCCACCATACCCAGCTATTTTTTTTATTTTTAGTAAAGACGGGGTTTTCGAACTCTTGACCTCAAGTGATCCACCCACATGGATCTCCCAAAATGGATTATATGCAGCACTTTGAGAGTGAATGCGATTTAGGGGTAAATTATAGTTGAAAGAATCCTTTCTACAAATTAAGAGTTTTGTGACTTTGTTTAACTAAATTTTTCTTCCCAGTCCAGGAAAATAAATGATACATAATTTCAAACCCAGAAAGCCAGAGAAGTGTTTTTGTCCAGCACATTTTCTTTTTTATATTTGTGTGAACTGCCATTTATTGGAGAAAGCTTTGATGTTAGGAGTTGTTGAGAAAATATAGCTATGATGGAGAAAACATGTATTTTATGTAATCTTCAAATTAGGAAAGGAAAGGATATTGAGGGTAGCTACTTAACTAGTTTTATGGAAAATAGTAGCCAATGTCACTATGGTAATCTTTTTACCATAGTTAAGGTCCAGTTTCTTAAGTTCATTCTTATAATTTTAAAATCCCTAATCTGCCATGTTTCTATAAAACATTTCCTTACAGTTTTGGAATTCTGTCCATGTTTAAGACCCTTACATCTTTTTTTTTTTTTTTCCTTTGGCGACGTAGTCTCACTCTGCCCAGGCTAGACTACAAATGGCAAATTTCGGCTCACTGCAGCCTTAACTTTCCAGGCTCAACTGATCCTCCCACCTCAGTCTCCACAGTAGCTGGGACTACAGCCACACAACCACCATGCCTGGCTAATTTATTTTATTTTTTTTTGTAGAGATGGGGGTTTCGTCTTGTTGCCCAGGGTGGTCTCCTGAGCCCAAGTAATCCTCCTACCTTGGCCTCCCAAAGTGCTGAGATTACAGGCTTGAGCCACTGTGCCAGCCTAGGGCCCTTAAACCTTAATAAGACTAAAATGCTTGGGTCAGAATTCCATGTATTGTTAGACAAGAATCTTGCTTGTTTCTAGACTATATTTCAAAATGAATCTCAAGTAATCTTTATTATATATGAGAAACTTTAATATTTTTCTGTACACCGACCCCTGAAAAACAAAACATACTTCATTCTGAACTTAAAAAGTGTGAGAGATTTGGAAGCTGAATATGAAGTGTTTATAAATGACCCTTATTATCTTTCTTACTTTCCATTTCTCAGATTTATCTTGTTTTTCATTTCATCCATTGCCTTTCATGTCTGGGGTCAAAAAAAGCTGGCAAGCAGAAAGGGTCTTTTGAAGCCAACAGAGTACTTATTAAGGAGGTATTTTAAATGAAGTACCCCCCAAAGTGTCTTTATTACCCCTAGAAAGATACTTTGAGGGGTAAGAAATCACCATTGTAATTCAGGTATTTTAAAAGTTAGAACGTCTCTTTGGAAGGGCATTGAGACACCTTTTAGTTTGACACAGTACTGTGCTAATCAAATTAATAAGCTGTCTTGAAAGCTCTTGTGAGTTCATTGAGTTGTTATATCTTCAGAAACTTCCTGTCAGGTGTTTGACACTAAGTTTTGTTTCTAGAATTAACTTTTAAAAAATCATGCCACGAACGCTCTCAATTTTTCTGACTCAAAGCTTTCTTGGAATTTGGGACTATAATGAACTATCCAAGATAATGATTATGGTCCTACATTGGCATGGCTAAATCTAGGAAATTGCCTAACTCTAATAGAATACTTCTGAAATATAGCCTTCTACTTGAAGTATATAGAAAACAGCCCTTCCCTGAACAATTTCATTTATAACAGGAAATACTGTTAGCATTATGACTAAAAATAATGAAACTGATACACATTAAAAGCGTAAAATGCATGCATGCATGGTAAGCTTAATAGTTGGAAGAACAGTGATAATCACTTGGGGCAGAGTAACTTCAAGTGAAGTGAGTAGACTTAGTGACATTAAAAAGGTCTAGTTGTATAATTAAAAGAGATGGATATATTTTTGCGTCTTCTAGGTAATTTTTCTTTTTGTCAGTTTTACAGATTCTTTCCTTAGCAAATCTTTTTGCCATAGTTAAGGTCCAGTTTCTTAATTTCATTCTTCTAAAAGTATTACCAATAATAGTCCAAGGAATATAAAAATGGGATCGATTCATCTCCCTCTTGGTTTTCCCAGAAAGTGATATCACTGTTTATCTAGTGGCTAAAGCCAGGAACCCAGGGATTCCTCTGACCTGATTTCTCTTTCTCCTTCATCTTCCCAATATTCAGTCCATCAGCAAGCTTTGTCAATCTTACCTGAAAACATTGTCTTTCTTTCTGCCACATCCTAACACAGGTCATCGTTATCTCTACCTGGATTGTTTAGCAGCTTCGTTATTGGTCCCCTGGTATCTACTCTTGTTCTCCTAGCAGTTCGTGCTCCACATAGATGCCACAGTAGTCTTTTTTTTTTTTTTTTTAAACAAAAAGCAAATCATCACTTTGCTTAAAATCCTTCCTTGGCTCCCTTATGGACCTCAAAACAAAATATAAATCAGTATATGACCTGTACCTTTGTGTCATTCTTCTCTTTTTATTTTCTTAGGCTCACCAAGCTGTTTTGTGTCATTTTTCCACATGCTTTTTTTTATCCTCTGCCTGAAATAGTCCTCAACCAGTTTTTTTTTTCCCCCATATCTGGCTGGGTTCTCAGTCTATAAGTATCCAGTGGAAGTTCTGAGGGGCTTTCTTGGAATCAACATTCTATCTGAAGTTGTATTCCACTATTCATTCCTTATTGGAATGAATTTTTTCCTTTATTGCATTTTCTCTTTATTCATTACATGTTATAATTTAATTTTTAGTCTTCCTCAGTAATAATTTCTGAGTGCAGGAATTATAATACTCAACTAAAATGTTTAGGGACTAGGAGAGAGAGAATATCTTCATTCTAAATAACAGCTTTTTCTCCATTCACATGTTCAGCATTTCTGGCTAAACTGAAGAATGATAGTATTACTGAGATTTGGAGTTCCACAAAAGTAGAGGTGCTAGAGCCAAGAGCGTAATGATGGTATTTGTTATCCTTTGAAAAGAAGCTCTCTTATGGCTTTGGATGTTTGTTCTGACAGTTATCAGTAATCTAGATGCAAGGAACATGTAGTTATTATGTTTAAGTTCATTTCCCATAAAATTTGTATTTGAAGTCTTCTAATTCTTGGGTACTCACCTAAATCCCAAATGGAAATTCAATTCTATCTTTTTATTTACAGAATATACTGATGATAATGCTCTAATTCCTAAGAATTCGTCTGTAATTGTTAGAAGAATTCCTATTGGAGGTGTTAAATCTACAAGCAAGACATATGTTATGTAAGTATCAAATCTCATGTATTTCTCAAAATAGACTTTTTCTTAGTTTTTTTTTAATTTCATGAGAAAGAAAAGTGCTTTAGAAGTGAACTCATCACCTTAACCTTAATGAATACATCTTCTCAAGACTGTGAGGATAGGGATTTCTTCATTTACTTGTTTTTTATTTCCTCCCCCAGTTAAATTGACTTAGCCTATAGTGACAAGGGCCATTATTAGGAAAAATGTTTTCTCCATATGGGCAGTATTTACAAAGACAAGAAAGTGATATTCAAATTACTTCTGTACCCTTCTTTACCTGCATTTTTGGAGGTGAGGGGCTTTAATTTTCTTCACCACAAAAATTTAGTGTTGTAAAGATGTGTCCTAAATATTTTGACAGCATCAAGAGTATTCAGTAATGCTACTATTTACTCTTTATCAGTAAGGGCCTTTGGCTGGGAGGCATAAAGTATGTAGGATTTATAACCATAGGCACTGGAGTTAGGCTTAGGTTTGATTCCATTTACTGCTTCATACCAGTTGTGTAACTTTGGACTTTGGGTAAGTCTCTGTGCCTCAGATTCCTCAAAAATAAGATAGGGATGTGAGTACTTAAAACCCTAGAGGGTTGTAAGAATTAAATAGTGTGGCACATGGTGAATGCACATTATTGGAATAGGAAAAGAGCAATCTCCCACAACTAGTCTAGAGCCAATATTCACTAACCTGGGGCAGGATTAAAACCTTATGTCCTTAACTTTCTCCACTTTCTTGCAATTTTAGTAGTGATAGCAGATGCAGTAGTGAAACGGGCAGCCACATAGGTTATTTAAAGTGTAGCGATTTTCACTTAGAATTAGGTAGCTTTGTTTGAAATTGGAACAAATTATTTTGAGTCAATGAAAACTAGAATTTGCCAGTGCTAGGGAATGGAATGTGTTCTTGAAATTAAGGTAAAAATAGTCATTTTGGAGTTTTACCTGATATGGGCAGTGGGTGTTCTAATATTTTTCTCATTAGTTTGTTGTAAAGTTACATTCCATATCTGAACACTTGGAGATCCTTTTGTACAGTATCTTCCATATAGTAACAACTTTAAAAAGCTGAATGCTTTCCTTGTTGTGTAATTTCCAAGTGAACTTAATGGCTTGTGTTCTTACCTTTAAATGATTCTAAGAATTATAATTTTTTTTTTCCTGAGACAGAGTTTCACTCTGTTGCCCAGGCTACAGTGCAGTGGTGCAATCTTGGCTCACTGCAGCCTCCACCTCCTGGACTCAAGCTATTCTCCTGCCTCAACCTCCCAAGTAGCTGGCATTACAGGTGCCCACCAACACACCTGGCTAATTTTTGTACTTTTAGTAGAGACAGGGTTTCACCATGTTGGCCAGGCTGTTTTCAAACTCCTGACCCGAGGTAATCCTCTCACCTTGTCCTCCCAAAATTCTGGGATTACAGACGTGAGCCACCACACCCAGCCTAAGAATTATAAATTTATGGAATTAATTCCTACAATCTAGTATGAAATTTTACTTTAATTTACCAAGTGCTTTTTTAAAAATGGCAAACATCGCTTTTGTAGATTTTTTTTTGATAGAAACTCTTAGGGAAAGAATTATTTGAAGTACATGGCAAAATAAGTTGCCTCTTCCCAGAATTATATGTTAATTTACAATGTATAGATTCTGTTTGTGATACATTTGACTCATAAAATGCATCAGGTTTTGAGCAAATACTAGAACATCAAAGCTCATTTTTTTAATCTCAAATTCCAAATTATACACAAACCTAAAAACTCCTGTTAAATGCTAACATTTCTCTGTAGTCAAGATGCTAACTATCAGCTTGGCTTTTCAGATTTGAAAATTAGTTTTTGGAGCACAGCAATTTCTCCGGGATCCAAGTTACAAATGTTATAACAGTGGTCTTCCTAATATATGTGGAAATTTACACCTGAACCTATTCAGAAACTGAGAAATAACATAATTTAATTTTTCAGTTTATTAAGAAAAAAACACATTTCTAAACATAGAATCCCTATACTACCTTTCAGAAAACACTTGTTTTAAGTGGCAAGATACTCCTATTTTCACATTCCCTAGTATGGAATTTTTTTCCAAACCACAAATCTATCCCAAAACTGTTCAAAGGTGGTAAAGATTAATCAAAGTAATTTATTCATTCAGAAATTGGCTGTTATATACCAAAGGAAAATTGTTTCTAAAAATATGTGATTGAAGATGTTAAAATTTATTAACACAAAAATTCATAAATAGCTAATGTTTTGTTTTTATTTTGTTTTTTAGAAGTCGAACTGAACCAGCGATGGCAACTACAAAAGCAGTATGTAAAAACACAATCTCACACTTTTTCTACACATTGCTTTACCTTTATAATGTAGCAGTCAAGTAAATCATTTTAGAAATTAATAATCCAACTGATCGTAGTACATATTGTAAATAAAATGTATTTTGATGACAGCTCAGTTGAATTTGGATATATGTGGCATCATTTGCACACTTATTTTGTAGAAATGGGTAATTTGTGCCCGTAACATTGTTTCATATTAAATATGATAGCATTCTCCCTGTATGACACTGTGTTGTACAGTTAATGTATGATCTTTTTTAGATCGTTTAGGTTTTACACTAATGAACATGATGACATGTTCTACATCTGTCTGTCTATAGTTAGTATTTTGTATGTATGTACAGGCTGTTGTGTGCTTTTTGTTTCTTGCAATAAAAAATGTTTGGAGTGTATATTTTGCCATTTTCACGTTGTATCACTTAGTTTTTGTTAGTTTTTTTTTTTTTTCTGCCTGATTTATGGCTTCCAAAAACGCATTAGCAACATGCAAAGCTTATATTAAAGTTTGATGCTTTCTCCAAGTTCAAACACATCATATAAAAGAGCTTTCCAGAGACCATTGATGCAGCTTTATTATTTAGTCTTGCTTTATTTGGCATTTTGAGCTCCTTCTTTTGTTTACATCTGTACTATAAAGTGAAACCTGAAACTGGGGCCCCCTGTGGTCTTTCTCAGTGATTTTGATTTTATATAAATTGATTACATTGTTTTCAAAGTTTAATGAGATCTTCCACTTCTGTCTAGTTAGCACAGATGTCCAAATTAAAGTATTTCTCTCTTTCTCATAAGATACTAAAATGCTATGTTAATTGTAGGCTATTGAAAGCTGTAGCTTATTAGAGGTAACTCCCCTTAACCAGGATAACACCTTAATTTTTGTAATCACAGATTAACTTTAATTTGTGATACCATTTTAACTTTGAGCTCTTAAGTAAAAAGTAGCAGCATTCCTAAGTTGTGGGTGAAGTATCTGTTTCATAATACAGGTCTATCATAATTGAGTTCTGTAAATGTAATGGTTCTCTAAACATTTTAATGCCTAGGCTTGATACTGTATACAATGCAAGATGTCTAAAATCTTCATTTAGAATTGAAGGGTATTGCTTGCTATTTCACGTTATATACTTTTTAAATACTATTGATCTTTGTATATGAGGCATTTCACTAACCTTGGATCATTGGATCTTAAACATGATAATACAGAGTATCTGAACATTGGACTTGTTCTTTAGAGTATACGGCCTTTAGTTCTTGTGGAACTAAATACAGTGATTCTAAGATCAAAAGCCTTAGTGTTGGGGTTTTTTTTTTTCCTCTTTTTGGATATGAACTTTTTTTTTTTTTTTTTTTTTTTTTTAAGCGTAATGCTGTAAAAACTGTCCAAGCTTATGTTTTGCTGGTAATTGGTTTAAAACTGATTTTTATGTATCCAAATGCTAGCATAAATTAGATTGACTATCCTGGTGACTGTAGTAGTTAATGTAACACATTTTGTATAAAGTACAGTTTATATAGTATTTAAACTAATTCAGATGAAGTTTTATTTCTTGAAAACAGTTATTTCCTTTTTGTTTAATTAGCATGTGTATAAACACAAATCACATGTTTATAAATAAAGTTAACATTCTTTTAGCCTTGTGTGTTCCGGCATGTCTGTATTACATTTATAAGAAGCAGTTTATTTAAGCTTATTTAGGTTTCTCTTTTCTTTTCTTTTTTTTCATACTTTAAAAGTGGCTTTAATTTTTAGGTAGAATTAACTGAAATAGATATAGTAGATACCTTGTTGTCCCCATCGTTTATTTGCTTGGGGTAAACTTGCTGGCATTTAGGATGAAAATATATTCATCAAGCATAATTAGTACCCATCTTAGGAGATGTCAGAGTCATGTGGATTGTACACATTCACTAAAGCAAAATAAATAGAGGCGCTAAGCCAAATTTTTCTTATCCTGATTAGTAAAGCAGATGTATAGTTTTGGTTATTGTAGCAAACTCTGATGAAGGATGGATAGCTATTTCCATATTCCCCAGCCTTGTTTTTATTCATTTGTCCATGTTGATACTCTAAAACTGGATGTTCTTCTTGTTAATTAAACATCAGAATTGCATTTGGTAGGATCCTTTAACTTCAAAAAGCAAGTATAATTGGCATAAAAGATTTTAGATTCTTGCTCTCCAAAACATGACCCCTGATTAGATACAGGGAGGTGGGTTAATTTTAATGTCTACAGTCTGCATCAGTCAGTTTTGTGAAACTTTAAAGTGGCAGATTTTTTTTTTACCATTGGTATCTTACCAAGAGTCACTATTTTTATTGATTTTAGTAATACAAATTCCTAATCATTTTTAAACCATTCTTTGCCAACATTTTTCACTCATTTCTTAACACCTTGCTATATTAGAAAACAAATTGGTTGCTTTTCTAAATTTGAGGTAAATTTGACTTCTTTATGGACTATAAGATATTTAGGGGCAATTGTGATTATTTGGTGGGAAAAAGGTGATTTAGGTGCAATTACTTATCTGAAACCACTTCAAAGTCAATAAATATATAATAAGTTGGCAGAAAGCTTAAAAGAGCACACAAAAGCACAGTATAAAAACAAAAAAGTGTTAGGAATGGGATGATTTTTTTTTGTTCTTAGTTTTTTAGTTCCAGTGGTAAGAAAGTTAACATAATTGCTTTCTTTCCAAGGAGGTCATCAGTATTTGTATTCTATTCTAGCTAGTAATGGGCTATTTTTAAAAGCTATTTGTTTCATTGGTTAGAAAGGTAGTATAGATGATGGTTGACAGCAATTTTTCTCTAGTCCTCGTTAATTAAAATCAGATAATTCCTGGTCGGTATAAAATCCTTAAAATAGATTGAGTAGGTCAGAATTTATTTTAGATAAAAATAGAGTATGTATTTAGTTTTTTTTTCTACTTACCGCTAGAGATTAGTTCTTAAAGGAAAAAAATACTTTAGGCCGGGCGCGGTGGCTCAAGCCTGTAATCCCAGCACTTTGGGAGGCTGAGGCGGGTGGATCACCAGGTCAAGAGATCGAGACCATCCTGGTCAACATGGTGAAACCCTGTCTCTACTAAAAAAAAATACAAAAAATTAGCTGGGCATGGTGGTGCATGCCTGTAATCCCAGCTACTCAGGAGGCTGAGGCAGGAGAATTGCCTGAACCCAGGAGGCGGAGGTTGCGGTGAGCCGAGATCGCGCCATTGCACTCCAGCCTGGGTAACATGAGCGAAACTCCGTCTCTCAAAAAAAAAAAAGAAAAAAAAAAAAAAATACTTTAAAGCTGGACAAGAATGACATTCCATTGGCAAATTATGTAATTATGCATTAGGATGTGGGATTAGTGCATTATGAACTCTTTTATAGTTCCCTGATGTGGAGCAAAGAAAGAACTTTTGTCTGAATAAACATCCCAGTAATATTCATCAAACTAACTTTTAAAACCCTAAGATATTTGTGAGCTGTGTCTTATATTTAGCCAACATTATTTTTTATTTACATTTATTGATCCCTGTGGTGGGCATTGGCTAAGACCTTTATTTTGAGACTGGTTGGGGCTCTTAAGTCATGTTACTTTTGTTTTGAAACTGTTAATTCCCTGGAACATAGAATACCTGATGAAGACATTTTTCTTTGATCCAGACATCTTGTTACATTCTCCATTTTAAGTGAAGAATTCTTATTTAACCTTACAACATGTTAAATAAGCAACGCACTTACTACATAGAAAGTTGTAGGGTAGTCATGTCTTCGGGATTGTTTGCTAAAGATTTTTTTAAAAACTGATATTAAAATTATTTCAGAGGATCAAATCATGAAAAAAGTTTAGTGTTCAACTTAAAATCCAATTTTATTTTTATTTTATTTTGAAAAGGAAATGTTTTATTCCTCTTTGCACAGAGCGGTTTATGAAGGTGGCCATCTCCTGACTCCATACATCTTTTATACAAAGATGCCTCTTCAAATAGGCCCAGTTGTCTTCCCCACTTCAGAGTTACAGAATTGGCAGTTAGTGAGTGGGGCAGAATGCTTAAGACTCATTAATATACATTTTTTAAAGCCCTCTTATATCCTTTATATATACTTGCTCTGTTTGATTAAATTAACTTTCTTCAGATATTAGAATCCATCATAATAAGTGACAGCTCTGTCGGCCTTCTCCTCAGGGTGCCTTTGTTTTTCCTGTTTTTGACTTAACATCTTTGCCCTGATAAAGCTTTAGTTTCTTTGACAAGAAGCTACTCTTACTCTTTGTATGAGAGAATAAATAAACATACTCAGACTGAAGAGTACATTTTCAAAAATTAAAAAAGTAGCAATTATATGGGAGCTGCTACTTATTAAAGCAATTATCTGAGCCCTTAAAGGGCTGTTTGTTTTTACAATGTTGTATAATGGCCTTGGAGGAAAATTAGATTTCTTATTCTCTTCATCCAGTGTACATTGTCTTGAGCATTGTCAAATTTAGAGACCATAGAGACACATGGGACTCCTAGTATTCATTCAGTACTCTGAACAGATTTTCTGTGTGATACATTTTTTCCCCATTTTTTTTATTGTAATTGAGTCCCCTCTTCCCCTCCCCCTCCAACTGATAGCCTTTTATAACTGTGGAATATCTAGAGAAGAATGAAGTAGGCTGAGCTACACTTTCAAGCTTAAAACCAAATAACATTCTTTAGAAAACTAAGAAAATGCCCAATATTTCAACATTAAGTGTCAATAGGGAGGGGCTAAATGATCACTTTAAGATGTTTTCAGTTTGGAACTTGAATGTGTGTTTAATTTTTTGTGAACAGATTGATGACTCTTCCGCGTCTATTTCTCTGGCCCAGCTTACAAAGGTATATATATATATATATATATTCTTGAAAATATAAGTCTTTTTCTAACATCATATTTTTTATGTGGAATGGTTTTTTAAGAGGGGTTGGGGGAGGATGTATTTTGCAAAAGCATTGTACATATTATTACTATCCTGTAAAGAGTAGTTGCTGTTTTGAGAAGATAGGGGAGTACTTTGTCAGCCTCAGCGTATTGGAGTATTGTTCATCTTCAAGACAGAAGAAACACATGAAGCTACACTTAAGTATTTTTTTTTCCCTCATACATTTTGTTTAATTATACATTGGAAACTAACAAGGTTCTGGAGGAATTTCCTGGTTTTGGCTATAAATTATGTGGACTTTTTTTAAGCAGCCAAAACAGAAGATTTCCTTTACACGGACGATTGCATGGTTATTTCTTGAATATTTGACTTGATCCCATGAAGGTCAATATTTTAAATGTGATACAGTTGTTTCTTTATGCTATAGAACTGTAGTCTGTCTGCATTAGAAAAGGTTTTGAACAACCTAATTTGTTTGAACACAGACTACATGAATTGTGTAAGTGTATAAAGCTGTTTGCAGGAATATACCAATGTGTATGTTTGGCAGAGGGGCAAATTGTTACCTCCTGAATCATTGTATATGCCATGTTTTGCGATAAGATTGCTTGCATTTTCTGCTCAACAATGTGTATCTTCTGTTTGGGAAAGCACTAGTGATGGATTACTTTTTAAAGCAATATATTTAGCTTGCAAATTATGCCTTAAAAAAAAAAAATAGGCAGACTTTTGAGGGCCAAGAAGGAAGCTGTCCAGTTTTCCAAAAATCCTTTTTCCCTGCTATCAGAAATGTGAAACCAAATTTAGCAACCACGATTAATGAAAAGATGGGTTTTCCATTAGTGCTGTCCCTATCTTGTCCTTGGCTTTGTTATGTCCTTTCCCCTAGACTGTATCCCAACAAAATGTCCTAGTAACAAATTGCTTTTTAAGCTCCTGTTCTGGGAAAATTAAGCATTAAAATTGAGTATTCTAAAACATAAAGTGGACTAAAGCCATCCTATTTTATAATTTTCTAATGCAAAGTGGTTTAGTATAGAGTTAACACTTTAGATATTTATAGTTTACTGTTTTTATTCTTATGTACTGTAAGGACCATATTTGAGTTTTTGGTCTATTCCTACCACTGTTTCTTTGCGGGGAGGAGTTGGGGAGGTTTGGGAGATTGTTTTTTTTTTTTTCTTCCTTTCTTTCTTTTTTTTTTTTTTTTTTTTTTTAATTATAGGTGTTTAAAAAATAATGTTTGGGTTCAAACAAATTAGTTGTTAAACATCTGTAATCCAGTTTTCTGTAAACGTTGCTGTTGTTCTAAGCTCTGTTAATGTTAAGCATTCTTTGTATATAAAATTACAATAAAATGTTAAAACTGGTTGCTTGTTTTGTGGATGAATGTAAAGACAAACCCCAGTGAATGGCTGATATGAGTGCTAAATGCTTGAAGATTCAAGTTGTTAGAAATCACTCCCTTAGACCCTGCTTATATCTAGACCTGATATATCATACCTCAAAGATGAAATTCATAAAACTTATCTGGAGAGTTTAATTTAAAATTATAATGCTCAATGCACATCCTTTGCCCTTGATTTGAAACTAACATCACTACCTAAACAGCCTTCTACTTCTAATATCTGCTGCATAATATGTTCAGTCATTCTACCCTCATCCCTACCTCCACATTATAAGTATAAATTATAGCCTTAATGCTCTGACACTTGAATTTTTAAAATATCAAGTGTTTCTCTTCTAACTTAATATCATTTTCTTTAACTTGTAGAAAAGTAGTATGCAAGTCTTACTGTAAGGTACAAACAGGGTCTAAGGTTTGAGTGCCCCCAGAATGACTTTCTTCAGCCTTGCAGACACCCAAACATCATGTAATTACCTAAGGAATTCCCAAGTGCCTCTTCCAGGTTATACGTGTAAATAGTTGTTTTTATGCAAGGTTAGTTAGATACTGCTCTTTATAGGATGAGTGGTGTTGTCTTTGGCTGTGTGGTCTTAAATGTGTTTCTAATGTGTGTGTCAAATAATTACCTGTTAAACAGACTGCCAATCTGGCTGAAGCCAATGCTTCTGAAGAAGATAAAATTAAAGCAATGATGTCGCAATCTGGCCATGAATACGACCCAATCAAGTAAGTTCATAAATATTTTACACTAATAGGAACTTTTGGGTTGGGTTTTCCACCCCAATTCAAAAGCACTATTTTTTCAACGTCATTGTGTACATGTAATTCTTTTTCCCCCTTTTAGTTACATGAAGAAACCTCTAGGTCCACCACCTCCATCTTATACATGTTTCCGTTGTGGTAAACCTGGACATTATATTAAGAATTGCCCAACAAATGGGGTAAGTTCAAAGTAGAAATTATAGTATACCTCACTTTTTTCCCTATGAAATTGTTTCTTAGCCATTTTATTTTTCTTGGTTAATACTGCCTTCTGTAAACAATGGCAAATGAGTGTGGTCTCTGGAGCCAAATTTGCCAGGCTTCAAATCTTGTTTCTGCCCCTTAGCTGAGTGAATTTGGGCAAGTTACTTGATCTCTATAAGCCTGTTTTTTCTTCTCTAAAATGGAGATAAAATCGTACTTATTTTACATAGCAGTTATGAGGATTAAATGAGATCATATGTGTAAAGCACTACAAGTAATAAAATAAGCACAGTATAAGGTTAGCCAGTTTATTAAATAAAGATAACTTTTTTCTCTTCTCCTATTTCTTTTTCCTCTGAATAGGATAAAAACTTTGAATCTGGCCCTAGGATTAAAAAGAGCACTGGAATTCCCAGAAGTTTCATGATGGAAGTGAAAGATCCTAACATGAAAGGTGCAATGCTTACCAACACTGGAAAATACGCAATACCAACTATAGATGCGTAAGTATGCAAATTAGGTATGACCTGTGGAGACTCCAGTCACAGGGTATAGTGCTTTAATCTTGGGCTTGTAATGTGGCTACTTGGATTCCTTGAGAACTTTGTATGCCAAGGTCATTAGTCTCTATAGCTCGCATTTCTATGAGACTGCAGTCTGCTCCATTTAAAGCAAATTTAAAATGGATTTGGGGATTTTTGTTATCAATGAGTGCCACTTCCCTTGTAGTCTTCTAATTTTTTCTTTTTCTGTCATTCCCTGCTTTCTTCCTCATTCACATACATACTCCCACATAATCTTATTATATATGCTACTTGCATTTTTAAGTGAACAAAACAGACTGTAATCATTTTGAGAAACAGGAGGCTTAAGGATAAAAGCTCTGCATGATGTTGAGGTAAATTTATGTGTCAAGCATAAATGAAACAACTAAAGTATCTTGAATAAGTTTGAATATACCATGTGAGTCTTAAGATTCTAAAGTAGGGTTTATTTTATAAACCACTAGCTCAGATCAACTGTAGCTCTATAAAACATCTTAATGCCCATTTTTCATGTGTATTCAGATTTTATATTATGAACCAGTTTTTAGTGAAATGGACAGATGTGAAAATTTAGTGGCAGGGTTCAACTAGGTAACTTCCCATTTTATCTGCTTTTATTAATGTAGTCAATTACTATTTTGATTACCTTCAACAGATGGGAACTCACATACTATACAACATAATATTAAGTGCTCCTTTGGGCTGTGATTTTCTAACTTTGTTGTGCATAAGAAACTCCTACAAAAGTATGTTAAAAGACTGGTCAGGTAGAGTGACCTTGGGCAAAAAAAAAAAATAAGATCCTAGTTGCTCTGCCCCACACCCCTGTTTTTTATTTAGAGGTTATGTGATGAGACCCTGATTCTACATTTTTAACAGGTTGTCCAGGAGATTATGAAGTTAGGGGATCCTCGGGGCATAAATTTACAGAATAGGTGTTCATGTTCTCAGTGAAAAAAAAAAAAAAAAAAAAGTACTGTATGTAAGAACAGTTTTCCTCAGCTTCATGCTGTAAATATTATTGAAGTGTAGTGTAGTGAGCAGGTGGGGATGATGAAAATAGCTATGCCATAGAATAATATTGAAAAGATCTTGTATTTTTGAATATGTACTTCAGTAAATAGTGTTTTCATTCACAGATAAGAATGTTTTCCTAAACTCCCAACCCTGCTCACTTCCTCAACTTCACTCCCATCTATTTTTTATCAGTCACCATCCTGTGTTTTTGTGGTTCATCATTGAACAGTCTGTTGTTATGCTGTTTCTAATTCAGAGACATTTCATAGATGTTTCCAAACAACTTTAGCTTGAAATTGATTATTTTTACAGACACAATTAAGAGCAGACCGCTTCATCTATATTATGTAAAATTTTTAAATAGAAATATGTGTTGGAAAAATTAATATCACCTGTAAACCCTAACTAATAATTAACTTCATTGCTTTTGAATGCTGAAATACAAGTGTCCATTTGTGCCAGACACACAGCAAATACTGGGGAAAGATGGGAATCCAGATATTTTAAATGAAACTTTCACTCTCTTCACTAACACCACTGATAAGCAACTCAGACTCTTCTTCTGTTTCTTTTTCTATCCTCTGTTCTCCTCTTTTTTTTCTTTTTTTTTTTTTTTTCTTTTTTCTCTCTTTTGGGCAGTGGGAGACTCCTCTTTCACAAATTGGGAACAATGGGGCATAAGCAAATTGATACTTATTTCTGGAATCGTGGTGATGTCTATGGAGCAACTGCAACACAAATAACACACCTAAGGTACCCTACTCTGTACAGCCGAGATTCTTTCATTTTCAGCATTGAGATAAACACACTCTGTTCCTGAATGAAATAGAAAGGGTTTCTTTAGGGATTCCTGTGTTTTGCAAATTTGCCTGATTACAAAGAAGATGGGGGTGTAGAAGCAGGGGTAACAAGTCTGAGAATAGCAGTTACAGTTTTTTAAATACTAGATTTAATGGCCAACATTTCTGCAAAATGCATTTCTACAAAAAACTGGACCTAGAGTGTCTAATGAGGTGTTACTTGACATTTTTGTAACACATATTTTGATCATTTAAGTCACTAATGCTTAATTGACTATAAATTGATTAACCTCTCTTAAAATACTAATAAGTAGATCATGGGTTTTGGTGTCTCATTCTAATAATTTGTGTGTAGTAATGGCATAATATTTCCCTTGAACTATCTTTCTTTAATTGTATAATGTCAGTACTGATTTTAATTTCCCATCTTGTGGCATTTACTCCAGTACCTTCACAGATTTGAGGGACTTTTCAGATATGCAGAAGGGAAAATTTGGGGGGAGCTTTTTGTTTTTTTGTGGTTTTTTTTTTTTTTTGCAAGAAACTTGATAGAGTAGGAAAAATTGTGATTGTGGTATTGTCTAAATTCAAGTCTTGTCTTTGTCACTTAAATAGAACTTTATGGCACAGAACATTTTGCTTTATTTCTGGCCCTCAGTTCTTAGAGTTACGGGTTCTAAGATTGTTTTACTATATTTATAGCATTTCTTCGCTTCTTTTTGTTATACTTGTTTGGACTTTTGTGTCTTTGTTTAGGGTGAGGTTGTACATAATTACTCCCTTATTTGAGAAGATACAGTGCTTATCTAATTTGGCATTATTCTGAATTATGTGTTCCCATTATGTTATACTAGAACATGTAGCATGAATACTATGCCTTCTTAACGATGCTAAACCACTGAATTCCTTCTTTTACAGAGAAGCATATGCAATTGGGAAGAAAGAGAAACCTCCCTTCTTACCAGAGGAGCCATCTTCTTCCTCAGAGGAAGATGATCCTATCCCGGATGAATTGTTGTGTCTCATCTGCAAAGATATTATGACTGATGCTGTTGTGATCCCCTGCTGTGGAAACAGTTATTGTGATGAATGTAAGAAATGCTGAATTTTGGAAACTGTATATTTTAGAATATTTGTATTTACTCTTCCTAACCTCATCTATTTTAATAACAAAATAAATAATGTTGATGACAAGTGTTGATCAATGAGCATTTAGTAATAAGAAGTCTGTTTTTGTTATTCTATCTTTTTTAAACAATAACCTCTTTGTCCTTTTAAATAATAGAATTGACCACCCTCTGTACCTTCATCAGGGTGACTATACTGATGGGTTTTTTTATATAGACTTTTTGTTTCCTGTATGTTTTAAGTGGTATCCAGAATTTTAAAACCTTTTTGGGCCTTAGATAATTCTGGAAATTTTTTTAAGTAGTACCTAAATCCCTTTTCTGGATTGTGAATAGCTTATCCTAATTTTTCTAAGTGTATTAAGAACTGCTTCCTGTAGACATATTTATTACTCAGCATTTGCCATGCAGTTGTGACTTTTTAAATCACTTATATTAGCAGTTATTTGTTTCCTGCCACTTATCCTAAGTTTATACCTTCTTACACAGAAGAAATCAGTGTTATCTGAAAATTTGCTCAAACCTGCTCTGGCTTTTTTCATTCTTAAAGGTAGTTTTGAAATATACAGCCCTCCATACACATGGTTCTGCACCTGGAGATTCAGCCAACCACAGATGATAGATATTTGAGGGGAAGAAACAGTAAAAAATAATACAGTCGTAAAGACTAATACAGATTTTAAAATATAGTATAACAACTATTTGCATAGCACTTACATTGCCGCAGGTATTGTAAGCAATCTAGAGATTTTTTAAAGTATGCTAGAAGATGTACATAGTAGTTATATGCAAATACTATGCCTTTGAGGTAGTTGAGGGACTTGAGCATCTGCAGATTTTGTTATCCTTAGAGGGTCCTGGAATCCATTCCCTTCAGATACCTGTAAATCTTTGTTTATTGACCTCTTCAGTAAAAAGACCAAGGTCAAGAAGAGGTTGGTAAAGACCTGTTTCAGAGTATATCTTAAATTTAACAAACCACTTGATATTCTTGGAGTTTTATTACATTGAAGCATGATCTTCATATCTGTAATTTAGTGTTGCTCTCACTTGCTGTGCTGTAGGTCTCATTTTCTTGCCTGAATGAAAATCCCAAGTTAGCCATGTAAAAGGTTTGTCTTTCTAGACTGTCTCATATTTCTATTTTGTTTTCTGCAATATTCCATTTACTAGCTAAACAAAAAATAGTATTTGAGAAAGTGCTTTTGCTCTCAGTTCAGACATTTATTTAAATGTGTCCTTTAAAAAAAAAAAAAAAGTGGAGGTCCTTGCTATTTTCCCCAAGGCTGGCCTTGAACTTCAGGACTCAAGTGATTCTCTTATCTCAGCCTCCCAAGGTGGCATCCTGTCTCAGGCCACCACACCCAGCTATGACTTCTCTTTTTTTAGCATAGCATCGATCATAGAGAAAAGAGCAGAGGAGTACTGTAAGATAAGAGATTTTATTTAAGTTTCTTAATCTAAGAAATGATTAGCATGACGTGCTTGGAAAACAGTAATGTAACAGAACAAATGTAGACCAGCCTTTTAATTCATTCTGTAAACAATGAGTTCCTACCATGTTTTTATTAATATTTGAAATCTTACGCATAGGTATAAGAACAGCACTCCTGGAATCAGATGAGCATACATGTCCAACGTGTCATCAGAATGATGTTTCTCCTGATGCTTTAATTGCCAATAAATTTTTACGACAGGTAGCTATCTTTGTATCCATTTTATGAAAAATTTCTTTTTAATTTTTAACTGATTTAACTGTACTTCAGTGAATACTTCATAACATTTTTCTGCATTATTATGCTTGGTATCCCTAGGCTGTTAATAACTTCAAAAATGAAACTGGTTATACAAAAAGACTACGAAAACAGTTACCTCCTCCACCACCCCCAATACCACCTCCAAGACCACTGATTCAGAGAAACCTCCAACCTCTGATGAGATCTCCAATATCAAGACAGCAAGATCCTCTCATGATTCCAGTGACATCTTCATCAACTCACCCAACTCCCTCTATATCTTCATTAACTTCTAATCAGTCTTCCTTGGCCCCTCCTGTATCTGGAAATCCATCTTCTGTTCCAGCTCCTGTACCTGATATAACTGCAACAGTATCAATATCAGTCCATTCAGAAAAATCAGATGGACCCTTTCGGTAAGCCTATGTATTTTTCACTGTTAGAAACCAAATGAGGTCAATGATGTTATGTTTTGTTGTTGGGTATCACTTTAATAGCTTTTTTTTTTTGGAGAGGAAATCTCGTTCTGTCACCCAGGCTGGAATGCAGTGTCACAATCTTGGCTCACTGCAACCTCTGCCTCCTGGCTCAAGTGATTCTCCTGCCTCAGCCTCCCAAGTAGCTGGGACTGCAAAGCGTGTGCCACCACACCCAGCTAATTTTTGTATTTTTTGTAGAGACGGGGTTTCACCATGTTGCTCAGGCTGGTCTTTTTTTTTTTTTTTTTTTAAACTGCAGCAACTTTAATATAGGTCAGGCTGCTCTTGAACTCCTGACCTTGTGATCCACCCACCTCAGCCTCCCAAAGTGCTGAGATTACAGGCATGAGCCACTGCACCCGACTTTAATAGCTTTCTTAGTGGACCACTGTGTTCAGTAACGTGGGATGACTTGTAAGAAATGACTTAGTCCTGTTGCAGGAAGAGGAAAATAAAGGCGATTCATTCGGCAAATGATGATTAAGCATCCCAAGGTCAAATACTACACAGGTTGCCAACAGCCCCTGTTAAACATTAAATGTACTATATACCATAACAGCTCTGAACTTCAAAGGTGGGGGAATTCACTTGTGGTCATAATGATGGTATTGGATAGGAGTAGATTTGAGTAGAACAGTTTGGATAGGTAGAGACAAGGGAGTAAAAACAGGTAAGTAGAGAACTCAGGAAAGTGATTGGGGTCATAATCAATGTAGGAGAATAGTGAAAACTCACTTAAAGTCTACCACTTCAGAAATGAGACTTTTGTCCATGTAGCTTAATGGCTCATAAATTCTTTAAAAAAAAAAAAAAATAGGTATCAGAGGCCCATTTCAGACATACTGAAGCAAAATCTTTAGGATGAGACCTTTACATATACATTTAAGAAATTCTAATCTAGTGGAATTTATTTGGTTGATAGTGGGAACAGGCCCAGAGAGTTCTGTGGCTGACCCAAGATCATCTTTTTAGTTTAGTAGTAGAATTAGAGCTAAAACACTCCTAATCCCAGGGGGATTTTTGTCTCCATAGGCCACACTTTGATTAAGTTTTACTCTTCTTGCAAATGATTTCTGTCATAACTGTCATATCTTCTTAGGGAGGGTCCTTCATTTTACTTTTCCACTTCATATAGAGAACTCTTCAAAGTTTCAGTCCTCTCTCACGTTCCTCAAAAGTATTCATCATCTTTGACTCATCTTACTGCAGGTGATGGGTAAACAGCAACAAACTTTTTTACTCTTAATTGTCCCTTTCTGATAATTTTTAATGTGTTGTAATTTATATTTTTTTAAGGGATTCTGATAATAAAATATTGCCAGCTGCAGCTCTTGCATCAGAGCACTCTAAGGGAACCTCCTCCATTGCAATTACCGCTCTTATGGAAGAGAAGGTAAATTTTACTCTTTAATTTGGGATTTTTTATAGTAGGGCTTTGTTTTTACTTCTTTTTTTTTTAACCATTTCTGTTTATTTGTGGTTGTTTCTAAAGGGTTACCAGGTGCCTGTTCTTGGAACCCCATCTTTGCTTGGACAGTCATTATTGCACGGACAGTTGATCCCCACAACTGGTGAGTAAGATCACTTTTAGACTTTTTTCCCTTTAAAAAATAATTTTAGCTTGATTTAATAGGCAACTTTATATTTACCTTACTGTTTTTATTTTTTGTTTCTAGGTCCAGTAAGAATAAATACTGCTCGTCCAGGTGGTGGTCGACCAGGTTGGGAACAGTGAGTAGATGTTTGCAATAATCTTCAGATGATTGCCTGCAAACTAGATAACAGAAGCTTCAAACCAGGCAGCGGGTTGCTGCTCTTTATTATAAACTTTAATGTGCCAGATTAACAAAATTCAAGCTTATATGAGTTGTTTTTTTTTTTTTTAATGAGTAAATCTTTTCTAAAATACAAAATCTTAGAAGTTTTTTTCTACTTTCATGTCCAACAACTGGGGATCTTGACAGGACTTCAGTTAATGAGTAGGATTAGAATTACAGAAAAGTTATTTTAAATATGGCGTCAGTTATTTTCCTATACTAGTTTAACTTTTTCTATCCTTAATTTGGATGATCAAAGTCTGGTTTGAGTACATAAATACATAATAAGATTAAAGTCTACCAAACAAAAATTTGTTGTTTTAAGTCATGTCTTATTCCACAGGATATGTTTTTTCTACCCTGAAATAAAAATAATTTTGATTTTCTCTGTGGGATATTTTATGGCGTTGAAAATCAACAGACTTACTTAATATCTTTTTATTTATATAATTTTTTCTGTTTATATAATCTAATCGAAAACTGACATATCCTTAAAGTATGAGTTACTAGCAGGATATATCAGTAGAATGAACATAGGATTTAGAAACAGGCAGACTTGGGTTTTGAATCCCATCTTCTTCATTTTCTAGCTTCATAACAGTGGTCATGTGGTTTTACTCCCTAACATCCATTTCCTTGTTTGGAATTGGAATGCCACTACCTACCTTAACATGTAAAATGGCTTCATAGTGCCCAGCAGACAAAAGGGCTCTTCCTTGTATATAACAATAAATTCACAGAGTAACTTATAAAATGCTAATTAAAATGTGATATTACATAAAGTAATCTATTTTGAGGTCTAATTACTGTTATAATACTGTTAACTGGGGGGAAAGTTAGTTTTAAGTAAATAAAATGTTTGCTCACCTCTCCTGTGTCCGAAATAAGTTTAAGAATTGGGGAGTAGGAAAAAGTTTTTGAGTAGTTAAAATCGGTGTTTTAACATCTGTGCATGGAAAGATCTTGTATTATGCCCATGGAAAAACACTTGAACTTTTTTTTTTTTCTCTCATATAGTTCCAACAAACTTGGCTATCTGGTTTCTCCACCACAACAAATTAGAAGAGGGGAGAGGAGCTGCTACAGGTAGGTATGCTAAAAATCTTGGAAAATAATCATTTTATTATATATGTATATCACCAAAAAATATATATAACATCAAAGAAATTAAAGCACAGCATTGGCAGGAAGGAAGGAGATAATTTGTTTGGGTTGTGTTTATCACTCTTAAGTTCTCAATAGTTATCCTTAAAGAGGCCTAGAAAAGAATAAATTACATATAGTTTCTTAAATGGTGGTTTTTAAGACATTTTTAATGTTCCTTCCCAGTGATTACTTTCTCTCCCTCAGCAAACAGCAGAGTATTAGCTTGTATTTACCCTCTTGTAAGTAGAAGAAAGTCATTAAGACTCACAATATCTAAGATACCAGTTTAAGATGAAAGTTAACAAGCTCAGCTCCCAACTGTCAAAAAGAATTACATTTATTTATCTTCTAGACTCCACTGTCCCAATCATCTCCCACCTTTTTTTCCAAAAGAAGAGACAGGAGATTTTTAGAGGCTCCCGTTCTGGGCAGGTACAAGCATTATTAATCCAAGAAGTCAGAGTCTTACTGTCTAGATCAGGGGTCCCCAATCCTGGGCCAAGACTGGTGCCCATTCTTGGCCTGTTAGGAACCAGGCCACACAGCAGGAGGTGAGCAGCAGGTAAGCAAGCTTTACCACCTGAGCTCCACCTCCTGTCAGATCAGCAGTGGCATTAAGATTATCATAGGAGCATGAACCCTGTTGTGAACTGCACATGTAAAGGATCTAGTTTGCACGCTCCTTATGAAAATCTAACTAATGCCTGATGATCTGAGGTGGAACAGTTTCATCCCAAAATCATCCCCCCATCCCACTCTTGTCCCTGGAGAAATTGTCTTCCACAAAACAGGTCATTGGTGCCAAAAAGGTTGGGAACTGCTGGTCTAGATCATAATCACCAGCAGGATAAAGGGGCCTCCAAAACTTTATGAAAAGAGTTTTGGCCAAGCGTAGTGGCTCCTGCTGGTAATTTGAGAGCTTTGGGAGGCTGAAGGGGGAGGATTGCTTGAAGTCTGAAATTCAAGATTAGCCTGAACAACACAGCAAGACTCTATCTCTACAAAAAAAAAAAGTTAAAAATTAGCCAGGTATGATGGGATGCACCTGTGGTCCCAGCTACCTGGGAGGCTGAGGCAGGAGGATCACTTGAGCTTAGGAGGTTGAGGCTACAGTGAGTTCTAATCGCACCACTGCACTTTAGCCTGGGGGATGGAGTGAGACCCTGTCTCAAAAAAAGAAAGAAAATTAGGGATATCTTCTAGTGCTTCATTGCTAAACTTATTAAAAAGTTTACTCTGTAATTACTGGATCACATTTTAAAAGAAGGGTAATATTTACTAATTCATAGCTATCTGAACAAAACGCTTAAAATCTAAAGCCCTGCTGCTGCTGTTGTGTACCAGTTATTTATAATTTAAAGAACCTGTAGTTTAACAGAAGTGAGCCCATTCTGTTTCTTCGGTGAGGCACAAATTAGAAACTTTAGCCCAACAATGTTATTTTTACTTAAGCCTTTGAGAGAAAGCATTGATATTTTCATTGTTAATTATACAAATTAAAACTAGAATTTATTCTGCTTTATATGATCTTCACCCACCTTCTACCTCAAAAAGGAGGTTACAGGAGGTGGTTTTCCTTCATTTAAACTTTTGGGGCCGGGTGCAGTGGCTCTCACCTGTAATCCCAGCACTTTGGGAGGCTGAGGCGGGCAGATTACGTAAACCAGCCTGATGAAACCCTGTCTCTACTAAAAATACAAAAATTAGCTGGGCATGGTGGCACATACCTGTAGTCCCAGCTACTTTGGGAGGCTGAGGCAGGAGAATTGCTTGAACCCTGGAGGTGGAGGTTGCAGTGAGCCAAGATCAGACCACCACACGCCAGCCTGGGCAACAGAGCAAGACTCTGTCTCAAAAAAATAAAAAATAAATGAATAAGTAAGCTTTTGGGTGGAACTAGGTCATAGCAACATTAATCTGTCAGTTCTTCAAAAGACAGTTTAGGAAGTAATGGGTGGCAATTCGTGGAGTGATAATCAATCTGGACTTCATAAAAGAGAACTTTTAAATACAATATTTCCATGTAGAGAAGGTCCCATAAATTTGCATCATCTCAGTTGCTGCGTGACCTTAAAAATTATGTTCTAGAGTTATTTTTACAAAATAAATGGTACTTATGATTCTATACTAGTTGAATAGTTGGTTCTATTCCACTGTTTTTAAGTTTGAAGATAATTATGGGTAGAAAAGATAAGCTTACTTGTCTCAGGTGACTTTAGTTTGAAGAAGTAATACCTTGGAATTTATTTCTCCAGAAGTATAAACCGTGGGCGACACCACAGCGAAAGATCACAGAGGACTCAAGGCCCGTCACTACCTGCAACTCCAGTCTTTGTACCTGTTCCACCACCTCCTTTGTATCCGCCTCCTCCCCATACACTTCCTCTCCCTCCGGGTGTTCCTCCTCCACAGTTTTCTCCTCAGTTTCCTCCTGGACAGCCACCACCTGCTGGGTATAGTGTCCCTCCTCCAGGGTTTCCTCCAGCTCCTACCAATTTATCAACACCTTGGGTATCATCAGGAGTGCAGACAGCTCATTCAAATACCATCCCAACAACACAAGCACCACCTTTGTCCAGGGAAGAATTCTATAGAGAGCAGCGACGACTAAAAGAAGAGTATGTATTCTGATTTGGAATTATTATACACTTTTTTCATTTTCTGATAATAACATTAAATAGGTATCTGGAAACGTTTTCCAGTGTTTCCAGTTAGTATGAGAAATTCACCTAAAATTTAAACCAAAGCCATACAAGCAACTTCCTCAGGGATTCCTAGTTTATAGTTTTAAAATGGAAAACTAATGGCAATTTCATTCATTTCATTCATGATCTAATTACATTTGTCTTGTTAGTTTTCTTAAATGGTTTTTGTTAACTTTCACTCTTTAACTTTATTTTACTAGGGAAAAGAAAAAGTCCAAGCTAGATGAGTTTACAAATGATTTTGCTAAGGAATTGATGGAATACAAAAAGATTCAAAAGGAGCGTAGGCGCTCATTTTCCAGGTTAGTGTTTTGCAAGCCTTCACAACAGAATTACAAATGGGACTTTGAATATCCAGGGATTAGCTATGGATATAAAGAACATTGCACTTAGGAATTTTTCTGATTCGGTCTAGGTGTATAGAAGTGAAGATGTAGCTTATTTCCCAATATCTGTTCATTGAAATAATGTCTCAATGTAAATTCTATTGTATAGAACTAACAGTTATGGGGATTAAATTACCCTTGTCCCTTGAAGTTATTTATATATAGTATCAAATAATTGGGAAATGTTTTTGGAAGGAAAGAAATAGGGGAATAGCCAAAGAACAGTTCTCAGGACCCTTTTACCATAAGGCTACAGCTTCTTGCTGGAACATTAACCTGTGTAATTATGAAGTAGTAGTAGAATACAAATTGCTTTATTGCTAGAAAAAGTGAATTATAAAAATTCCCTGGAAGTTTGTTTAAAATACTTTATTTTTTAGCCTTACACTTGAAATGTGTTTTCTTTTACAACTAGGCTTTTGGCCAGTATAGGACAAAAAACAGAATCCTACTTCAATATTCAGATAGGAAGTGAAATTTAAATTTAATTGACATTTTGTTTAATGTTAGTTAGCTCATATAACTCACGGTACATTAATGCACTCCACTCTAATTGTTAAGACTTCACTTTTGTTTTTGTAACAAGTGATTGCTCTGATTTGTGTACTTTTTTTCCATTCCAATAGAGGTCACTGTGCCTCTTTTAATCATCTAAGATGAAATTTGATGCAAAGACAGATGAAACCGTGAGGAGAGATTGCTAGAATCTGAGAGTCTGTGTTTTATTTTGTATATATTTCTCAACTATCAACTGTTGTTTTGTTTTGTTTTTAGGTCTAAATCTCCCTATAGTGGTTCTTCGTATTCAAGAAGTTCATATACTTATTCTAAATCAAGATCTGGTTCAACACGTTCACGCTCTTATTCTCGATCATTCAGCCGCTCACATTCTCGTTCCTATTCACGGTCACCTCCATACCCCAGAAGAGGCAGAGGCAAGAGTCGAAATTACCGTTCACGGTCTAGATCTCATGGATATCATCGATCTAGGTCAAGGTCACCTCCTTATAGACGCTATCATTCACGATCAAGATCTCCTCAAGCATTTAGGGGACAGTCTCCTAATAAACGTAACGTACCTCAAGGAGAAACAGAACGTGAATATTTTAATAGATACAGAGAAGTTCCACCACCCTATGACATGAAAGCTTATTATGGAAGGAGTGTTGACTTTAGAGACCCATTTGAAAAAGAACGCTACCGGGAGTGGGAGAGAAAATACAGAGAGTGGTATGAAAAATATTATAAAGGTTATGCTGCCGGAGCACAGCCTAGACCCTCAGCAAATAGAGAGAACTTTTCTCCAGAGAGATTTTTACCACTTAACATCAGGAATTCTCCCTTCACTAGAGGCCGCAGAGAAGATTACGTTGGTGGGCAAAGTCATAGAAGTCGAAACATAGGTAGCAACTATCCAGAAAAGCTTTCAGCAAGAGATGGTCACAATCAGAAGGATAATACAAAGTCAAAAGAGAAGGAGAGTGAAAACGCTCCAGGAGATGGTAAAGGAAATAAGCATAAGAAACACAGAAAAAGAAGAAAAGGGGAGGAAAGTGAGGGTTTTCTGAACCCAGAGTTATTAGAGACTTCAAGAAAATCAAGAGAACCTACAGTTGTTGAAGAAAATAAGACAGACTCATTGTTCGTTCTCCCAAGTAGAGATGATGCCACACCTGTTAGAGATGAACCAATGGATGCAGAATCCATCACTTTTAAATCAGTGTCTGAAAAAGACAAGAGAGAAAGGGATAAACCAAAAGCAAAGGGTGATAAGACCAAACGGAAAAATGATGGATCTACTGTGTCCAAAAAAGAAAATGTTGTAAAACCTGCTAAAGGACCCCAAGAAAAAGTAGATGGAGAACGTGAGAAATCTCCTCGATCTGAACCTCCACTTAAAAAAGCCAAAGAGGAGACTCCAAAGACTGACAATGCTAAATCATCATCTTCCTCTCAGAAGGATGAAAAAATCACTGGAACCCCCAGAAAAGCTCACTCTAAATCAGCAAAAGAACACCAAGAGACAAAACCAGTCAAAGAGGAAAAAGTGAAGAGGGACTATTCCAAAGATGTCAAATCAGAAAAACTAACAAGTAAGGAAGAAAAGGCCAAAAAGCCTAATGAGAAAAACAAGCCACTTGATAATAAGGGAGAAAAAAGGAAAAGAAAAACTGAAGAAAAAGGTGTAGATAAAGATGTTGAGTCTTCTTCAATGAAAATCTCAAAACTAGAAGTGACTGAAATGGTGAAACCATCACCAAAGCGCAAAATGGAACCTGATATTGAAAAAATGGATAGAACCCCTGAAAAGGACAAAATTTCCTCATCAACTGCGCCAGCCAAAAAAATCAAGCTCAACAGAGAAACTGGGAAAAAAATTGGAAATACAGAAAATATATCTAACACAAAAGAACCCTCTGAAAAATTGGAGTCAACATCTAGCAAAGTTAAACAAGAAAAAGTCAAAGGAAAGGTCAGACGAAAAGTGACTGGAACCGAAGGATCCAGCTCAACTCTGGTGGATTATACCAGGTATCTGACTGTAGGGGGCGGGTGTGGAAATTGGTTGGGGGAAGGATTTTCGTTAGTTTTATCCATGCTTGTGCTTTTTGTATTAATTATGAATGTGCTGATCTAGGGAAGTAGGCTGGCTTTGTTTAGTTTTTTGTTGTCTTTGAAGAAAGGTATTGCTAAAGACAAGGTTGTAAGTAAATTTTGGGGGTGAGCCACATTTGTTTTTATGCAATCATAATCTTAAATTGTGTATCTTTTTTAGGACAGAATAACATTTTTTTTTTAAGTTAAAAGGACATTTATTGTGTTTAAGTTAGCATTTTTGTATTTACTGGTGTTCTATAATTAGTAGTAAATTCTTCAATAATTAAAAATATTGTTATTCTTTTTAGTACGAGCTCAACTGGAGGCAGTCCTGTGCGGAAATCTGAAGAAAAAACAGATACAAAGCGAACTGTGATTAAAACTATGGAAGAATATAATAATGACAATACAGTGCCAGCTGAAGATGTTATCATTATGATTCAGGTTCCTCAATCCAAATGGGATAAAGATGACTTTGAATCCGAAGAAGAAGATGTTAAATCCACACAGCCTATATCAAGTGTAGGAAAACCTGCTAGTGTTATAAAAAATGTTAGTACCAAGCCATCAAATACAGTCAAGTATCCTGAGAAAGAAAGTGAACCATCAGAGAAAATTCAAAAATTTACCAAGGACATGAGCCACGAAATTATGCAACACGAGATTAAAAGTTCAAAAAACTCTGCATCTAGTGAAAAAGGGAAAACCAAAGATCGAGATTATTCAGTTTTGGAAAAGGAAAACCCTGAAAAGAGGAAGAACAGCACTCAGCCAGAGAAAGAGAGTAATTTGGACCGTCTGAATGAACAAGGAAATCTTAAAAGTCTGTCTCAATCTTCCAAAGAGGCTAGAACATCAGATAAACATGATTCCACTCGTACTTCCTCAAATAAAGACTTCACTCCCAATAGAGACAAAAAAACTGACTATGACACCAGAGAGTATTCAAGTTCCAAACGTAGAGATGAAAGGAACGAATTAACGAGAAGAAAAGACTCTCCTTCTCGGAATAAGGATTCTGCATCTGGACAGAAAAATAAGCCAAGGGAAGAGAGAGATTTGCCTAAAAAAGGAGCTGGAGAGCCCAAAAAAAGTAATTCTAGTCCCTCAAGAGACAGAAAACCTCATGATCACAAAGCCACTTACGATACTAAACGCCCAGTTGAAGAGACAAAATCTGTAGATAAAAATCCTTGTAAGGATCGTGAAAAGCATGTATTAGAAGCAAAGAACAATAAAGAGTCAAGTGGCAATAAACTACTTTATATGCTTAACCCACCAGAGACACAAGTTGAAAAAGAGCAAATTGCTGGACAAATTGACAAGAATGCTGTCAAGCCTAAACCCCAGTTAAGTCATTCTTCTAGACTCTCCTCTGACTTAACTAGAGAAACTGATGAAGCTGCTTTTGAACCAGACTATAATGAAAGTGACAGTGAAAGTAATGTTTCTGTAAAAGAAGAGGAAACCTCAGGAACCATTTCTAATGACCTGAAAGATAAAATAATGGAGAAGGCGAAAGAGAGCCTGGACACAGCAGCTGTGGTCCAGGTGGGAATAAGCAGGAACCAGAGCCACAGCAGCCCCAGTGTCAGCCCCAGCAGAAGCCACAGCCCTTCTGGAAGCCAGACCCGAAGCCACAGTAGCAGTGCCAGCTCAGCAGAAAGTCAAGACAGCAAGAAGAAGAAGAAAAAGAAGGAAAAGAAAAAACACAAGAAACATAAAAAGCATAAGAAGCATAAGAAACATGCAGGCACTGAAGTAGAATTGGAAAAAAGCCAAAAACACAAACACAAGAAAAAGAAGTCTAAGAAGAACAAAGATAAAGAAAAGGAGAAGGAGAAAGATGACCAAAAAGTGAAATCTGTCACTGTGTAAAAGGACAGATTTTAAAAATTGACTTAATTACTAAGTCATCTGTATTAAATTTTGTTATAATGTAAAGAGATTCAAGCCTTGTAAATAATGACATGGAAGACCCTGTGCTGCACTTAAAATATTGCTGCTTGATTATTTGATTTTTACATCAGAGCTTTATAACACGAACTTTTGTACAGAATTGTGAGTTGTGACCATGTAACGAGAGGTTTTGCTAGGGCCTATTATTTTTAACCACCATTAATTAGTTGGGGTGGAGTTTACTGTAATGTGAAATTTTCACATTTGAATTTTTTTAATTGCCTGGCAAAAGCTGATATCAGTTCTAAAATATCAGCAGAATGATTTGCTGAATTCATTACAACCCCGTTATGTCACTTTTTGATTACAATAAAAGTTTTCAGTAAACTTTTCAAATGTTGAGTATTTGCATTATTACAGAAAGTAGTGCCACATCTATAGACTTTACATACTTAACCTACCAGACACAGGTTATGTTTGTGTCTCCATTTCCTTATTTTAGTTTTAAAAACTAGTTTTTAAGCTGATAAACTTCATAGATGGGCTCGTGGTAAAGGCCGGAAATGAATCAGGATTAATTGGAGATGTGGTTAAATAAATCTAGGAGAGGCCGGGCGTAGTGGCTCGTGCCTGTAATCCAAGCACTTTGGAGGCCAAGGCGGGCGGATCACCTGAGGTCAGGAGTTCAAGACCAGCCTGACCAACATGGTGAAACCCCATCTTTATAGAAAAAATAAAAATAAATCTAGGAGGGTCTTGAATTATATAGAAATTAGAAGTTTGAACTTTCAAAACTGTTTGGATTTGAATATTAGAGATGCAAAGTTGTGACTCATTTATGGCAACATATTTTTCTGGAAACCCTGATAAATGAGTATTAAATTCCTTGATAAAGTAGAATGCAGCTAAACCAGTGAGCATCTGTGGCCTACCTAATCTGCCCAGTTGACAAGCAAGCAGTCATTACGAGTTTCCTTCATTGGTGTGGTTTGGAAACTTGGGGACAGTGAAAAGGCACTGAAAGCATTTGAGGAATGAGGGTAGGAATGGTACTTCAGAAACATCGTGTAAGTAGGGATTGAGAGAATAAACTTTTTTTGCTTCATCACGCAGGCTGGAGCACAGTGGAACAATCTCAGCTCACTGTAGCCTCCACTTCCTGGGTTCAAGTGATTCTCCTGCCTCAGCCTCCAGAGTAGCTGGGATTACAGGCATGCACCACCACACCCGGCTAATTTTTGTATTTTTGGTAGAGACAGAGTTTCACTGTTGGCCAAGCTCATCTCGAACTCCTGACCTCAGGGTGATCTGCTTGCCTCTGCCTCCCAAAGTGCTGGGATTACAGGCATGAGCCACCGTGCCTAGCCAATCATAGATTTTAAGCGCTATACAGGCATACTTTTTTTGAATACGTGTTTTTTTAAGTGTAATACTTAAAAATAGTGACATTAAAATTTTAGAATGTGAATTTGTATAGATGACATACAAATACTGTAAAGATCGTGAAAGCTGTTCAGAACTGAGTTAAATTAGAGAAATGCTGCCTCTAAATCAAATTAACTTTCCTCTAAAGGGCCCTGCTTGTGTTATGATGCTTAGATTACATTTGCTTATTCCCAAACACCTTTGTTGCTAAGGATGGGAGGTCTGGCCTAACCATTCTGACTCTGCACCACCCCACACACAACACATGCTGCCATTTCTACTTTAAAATATTCTAGCTAGATTTACTGTTAATTCTTGCTAATCTGGACCAAAACTCTGGATTCAATCTCTGACATTCATAGGATCTAGCACCCAGAACTGACTTTATCATACATTCCATCATCTGAGGTGAGTTTCATTACCTAAACTCATTGTTATTTAAGCTAAAATGACCTTTTCTTTAACTGCAGTCCACTCCTATGACAATTTTCCAGTTACTCAGCACCTGTGACCGTTCCTCTCTTGGTGAAACACTGGAGTTAAGCTCCAATGTTTCATCCACAACTTGGTCTTCCAGCTCCATCCTTTGTTGGTCTATTTGGGGCCGAAGTTTCAACTCATCCCCCAGTCTCTCTCCTTTCTACTCTTTCCCTTCCCTGGTCCTATACCCTGTTGTTTCAGCCACGTGCTAACATCCCTATAACCTGCTGCTCCTTACCCATCTTGCTGCACCCACACAGCTAACCTTCAAACCTGGATTAAGGTGCTGAACACTGCTTAACAAAACTAAAGAAAAACAATGTAAGAAGGAACTTAATTGCCAGGCACTGTGCCAAGTGCTTGTACTTCATTTAATCCATAAAAATTCCAGTGGCACTTGATGTCTTGTGTTACTTTAAGCAAGAAAGTCCACTGCCAGTGAAGGCTCAGTCCAGCCTTGGATATTCAAGCCAACTCCTAACTAATCCAACTCATCCCCACCATGTAAAAGAGTAAGCCAGCAAGTAAGACTCCACCTCTTGCTGATCCCCAAAAGACCATGTTATGTCTCCCTGTCTTTTGCACTCAGCTGTAATTTCCTTCCTCCTTTGCCTGCCTCGTAATTTCCTACTCATTGTTTGGGAATTAGGTTGCTGCTTTGGAATGATTCCCTCACAGTGCCCGTCCACCCCCATGCATGCCTGAGGTGCGGTAGCATCCCTGGATATGCTATAGTAACACCTTCCAAATTGTTTTCTGTGGTCTGTGTTTATCTCCCATACTGGACTGAGCATGACTTCCACAAAAAGAAGATCTAGTTTATATTCCAGAAGCCAAACCATGCCTTGCACATAGGAATAAGTTTGAAATAATAAAATGAAATTACCTTGTTTTAAACTTTGAGATTGTTTTACCAAGCAAATCAATTCTTACCCACACAGTGGCCTAAAGAAGTATGTGTAAAAGCTAGTAATAAGAGCAGACTTCACAGACAGCCGGTGATGTGTCAGTTTCTCAAGGGGGGAGATTAATTTTGGCCTATTGTAGGTTTGAAAAGTAGTATCCTTCAAGGACCTAGGTGCTTCTGTGTGCCAAGAATACTTCAGTGTTGAAATCAGGAGCTTAAAAATCACTCCTTTGCTAGTGTCAGCATGCCAAATGAAGGGAACGAAACCCGCTCCAAAATATTTAAGTCAGGATTTCAGAGGGGCAGAAAGCTACTTAATAAACTTAATGGTTTATTCATCCCAATCTGTGCAAGAGTCTCTGTGTGCTTGTCCACTTTTCCCGGTCTTTCAATGCCTGTAATGAATGCTGTTCTTACTGTATAAAGCTAGACATAGAACAAAACCTCTGATTAGGAACATGTCCTTCCTGAGACTTTTTATACCACTGCTCATTTACTTTAGCTTCCACAGTTGTCTTATTTTTAACAGGAAAAAAGCCTCCTATATGTAGTATGTGTGTATGTATATGCGTGTATATGTAAAATATAGAGAGAGAGCGTATACCCTGCATTTTTATCATAAACACATCCTTTGACATTAAATGTTTTTCACAAACATTGTTAATTTTGAGAACTGGAATGGTCAGGAAAGAATAGACTTAAGGTCACCTACCTAAATCTTTGAAAAAACATACCATGGAGCTGCTGTATGTGATTAACTTCAGCATATGGATATGAAAGAAATAGGGTTGATAGGAATATTCAAAGATTTTAGGTGAATTCTTTCAGTAATGGATCTAAAGTATAAACAGCTTATCAATGCTCCTCTTTGAAAAATGCCTTTGAGATTATTTTTAGGATCATGTTAAAAGAACTTTTTAAAAATATTGCTAATTATTTTATGCACTTTATTAAACTTAATGAAGAGTGAACAGTGATCTCATACTAAAGCCAACACCAGCATGAATCTTGCTTTTCCACTTTGCTTGAAATGTGGGTCTTTTGTAACTTGCTATGAAGTTGGTTTGGCCAGTGTGAATGTTTTCAATTTAGGTTTCTATTTTTAAAGTCTTTGGTGGTAAGATTTTAACATGAGAATGGATATACATTTAGAATTTAAAATATTATTTTGTAGATTTTTTTAGTGTTTTTGGTTTTGTTTAGAGAGAGTCTCTCTCTGTCTCTCTCTCTCTCATCTCTCTGTCTCTCTGTCTCTCTGTCTCTCCCAGACTAGAGTGCAGTGGCATAATCGTAGCTCATTGCAGCCCCAACCTCCTGGACTCAAGCAATCTTCCTCCCTCAGACTTATGAGTAGCTGAGACTATAGGTATGTGCCACCACACGTGGCTAATTTTTTTAAAAAAATTACTTTTTTTAGAGACAGGTCTTGCTGTGTTGCCCAGGCTGGTCTCGAACTCTTGGCCTCAAGGAATCCTCTTGCTTGGGCCGCCAAAAGTGTTGGGGTTACAGGGATAAGCCACTGCACCTGGCCCCTTAACAAGATTCTGATATTTCTTAAAATATGTTTTTTACCTAGCTTAATGATATATAAAGCTGGTAGACTGATTCTTTTCGTATCCTAAAAACTAAAACCAATACAAACAAATATGTAAAGTGAAGCCAAGGAAAACTGTATTAGTGCTAGAAACCAGGAAAAGACAGAAGGGGCAGACATAGCTAAAAAAATGTGGCATTTCTGCCATAGCACCACGTCTTAAAACTTTTTTGTTTTTAATGGGGAGAAGGTAAAATAAAGACAACTGACAGTTCTCTCCGTGAGAAGGCAGGTGGCCTCTTGAGAAGCTTGAATAGAAGATCTTGGGTACTGGGAATACGCCCTCATCTGAAGAAACAGGGATAGGCCATGGAGTAAATGAAGATAATTTCCTTGAAAGTCACTTTTAATATGAAAATTGCACCAAGGAAACCTGAAGCATAGGCTACCATGTTGATGGGGATGGAGGAAGAATGTCCAGAGACAGATTCGTTATAGCTGGTCTTGTTGCCAGGAAGGAAGCCAGACCACACAGACCTCATTCCCCTGGCTATTAGGTGGGCTGAAGGGGGAAAATATACAATTTTCGAGGCATCATGGCACTGGTGCTAGAAGAAGCAGACAAGTGAGTGGAATTGAATAAAACACCATAAATTGGCCCAAATATAATACACAACAGGTTCAGCATAAGTAAATGTGAAAAAGGATAGGTTTTTCAGTAAGTTTTGAGGGAACTAGTTAAACACTTGGAGAAAAAAAAAAAATCACGTCTTAAAATTCTAGATTAAATAGTTTAAAATTTTATGATATATTTAGGATTTAAAATATTCTTTTGTAGAAATTATGGTACCTAAATACAATTTTGATAATTGTGTGTTTTGACCTATCTTATTAAATCCCTGGATTATATTCTTATCTTCTAGGATGACCATTTTTTAATAGGTTAGGAGTTTAACATTTCAACTGGCCAGTCAACTGGAAACCCAGGAGCTTCTCCAATATTTTTGATGATTGTTGTATGAGATCTTGTTTATCTTGGTTTGCCCCTTT